CGGGCCGTGCCTTTCCTACCGAAGCCTCCTCCGGCGGAGGAGCGGCGTGAAATCGCGAGGTACGACGATTACGAGAGATGCGCGACCTTGGAAGACCGAAGTCGTCGTGGCGGCGGCGGCGGCGCGAACGGTAGTCCAAAGCCATGGACGCCTAACAACGACATCGGCAGAACGGGGAAGGATGTAAATCATAAAACGGTCATCTATTTCGGCGATTCGAATCCGAGACAGAAAGAGGAGAAAGTGAGGCAGCAGCAGCAGCAGCAGCAGCAGCAGCAACCACCAGCTCCACCTCCGCCTCCATCACCGGAAGCGTGCGCGCAGGTGACATCGAGGTGCGAGGAGGATCCTGAGATCGCTTCGTTATCCCTTGCGTTGCGATCGCGGAACGACGGGACGGAGGCTCGTCCACGAGACGCGCTGGAGCGGGATAACGAGCGGGAAGAGGATGCCGGACGACATCGAGACTCCGCGATGGAGAGCAGCGATCCCAAGGCCGCGCACGAGATCGTGGTGAACGTCAGCCCCAGCAGGGAAGACGTGCTCAGGATAGAGGAGGACGAGAGCCAGCTGGAGGACTATTGGTCCTTGCCGGGGGACACGAGCGGGTTCAAGGCGGATTGGAGTTTCGTGCAGCAGTGGCGACTGAGGGGGTAAATTCATGCACGCTCGCTTGCCGTTCCGCTTGACGGAAGGAAGAAAAAAAATAGATGCTGCCTTTCGGCGAATCGAAATTCCTTCGACTCTCGTGTTAAACGCACGTGTACCTCGCGCACGTTTCCGCGGGTGATTTACTTACCATTTGAAGTTCACACGAATTGCTAATAAAAACAGCATTGTGATCTACTTTGACCGAAGAGGATTATTTTTATTAGGATTATTTCTATTGATTAATTATATTTTTGTTTCGGTCTAAATTTCATTTATAACTGATAAAAGAGATTGATTAAGATTAATTTATTGATAAACGTCTCATCGGTGTTTTTTTTTGTTACAAATAATATAATTTAAATGACGAATAATCTATTACGTTTTTTGCTACGTAATTTCCAGGGTTGGGTAAATTAATGTTTTTTTTTTTAAACTAAATTAAGTTAAAGTTGGTGGCTTATAAAATTAATCAAATTAAGTTAAAAGTTGAAGGAATAAAGAATTTACTTAATAACAGTTAAGTTAAGATTGTATTGACTTAAGTTTATAAAAAAGTTAATTAAAAAAACATTATTTTTGAGATCAGAATGTCCTAATTTTTCTTAAAATGAGATTACTTTAAATAACACTTACAAATATAGATTATTAGGTAAATTTAATGTTATATTCACACGTAAGTTACTTATATATAATAAGAGTCACATCATAAGGCGATTTTTGTCAAAATCTTGCGAGAGAGGAGGGTATAATGTTTGCACTATTTCTTAATTCTTGAAACGACTGCTCATGCATGTTTACGACTACATAGACCAGATATTTGTTATAAAAAATATACGTAAAAATTTAGAAAATTGGTGGATGTGTAATACTGCTCTACAACAATTCTTCGTCTAAGGCTCATTTCATATTTATGTTGCTGAAATGTAACGTTTACGATACCTAAAATTAGTGTGATTTAAATATAAGCGGGAATTGACAAAACTTAACGAGTCAAGAAAAACTGGCTATCGTATTGTGTAACTCTTATTCTAAATCTCCATCTTAAAATCATTGAATTTTTTAAATTAATTCTCTAATGTTTGACCTTGTAGAAAAAAAATATTAGCATTAAGAGAGATACGAACATTTAAAAAAAAAAAGTTAATAAATTAAAGTTTAAAAGCACACTAAATTACGTTGAAAATTAATGCATTGAAAATTAACTAAGTTAAGTTAAAAGTTATGAACTTTTTAACCTTTAACATTTTAACTAGTTATTACCCATTCCTTGGTAATTTCGAAATACTAAATTATCAATGATTCCAGCACAGCAGAAATCAGACATTTAAGAAAATAAAAATAATCGTGACTTTTCCTTACGAAAAATATCATTGTAATAGTATATGTTGATTAAATTATTCTCCCATTGCTTCACGATTTCTCGACGTAAGACGAATGTATCGAGACGGTAAGAAATTGATAAAGCAAAATTTTAGTGACTGCAACCGATTTCCAGCTTTAGTCGTGAGATAAGATAATGGAGCTGTACGTCCCATACATTTATCCTCGCGAGATGGTCGAACGCGTATCTAAACATGTCACCGATTTTGCGCACTCACGAGAGAAGAGTTCGCCACTCTGCTGTAGTCCATGATTCACAAGCGATCGCCGGACAGCATCGTCGAGCCCTGCGTTTGAGTATCTCTTATCTCTCCTCGCGTTCATTTAATTTTCCCCCTCGTGACTGACGGATGCGCGCGTTCGAATAAAACGTTCATCGCGCTGTATCGAATCGATATCGTGTAATGGGACGTGCGTGTAAAACGTCGTGTTTGAACCGCCTCGAATCGGCATTACATATCGCGATTACGAGTTGTTTTAAGAACTCCTAGCCGCGCTCGCTGATTTATTCCCCGGCGTACAAACGATCCGTTCTTCGCGCACTCCAAGGAAATCCAGATGATGCACCGCTAATGCTCGGATCCCAACAGTGATGCCTCTCAAAGTGCATAATAAGTGCATTCGAGTTGAATGCCTGCGGGCCGTGGGTGTGCGTGCGTGCGTGCGTAATTTTTTCGACGCTTTCTTAGAATCCCTCTTTCTCGAAATAGATGTTAAAATTTTTTAATTTTAAATATTGCGAAACTATTGGGTTGTTCGGAAAGTAATTTCGTTTTTTTCCCCAACAGAGGACTTGATTGTATTTTTTCACAACCAACTTCACATTTAAGCCGCATAATTATATATTTTGACAGCTGATATAGCAAGGCTTGCTTGTGAAAAAAGTTCGATTGATTCTACGCAGTAGTTTTTGGTTGGTGCCCTATCAAATATGGAAAGTGAAAAGCAGCATTTTCGGCATATTTTACTTTTTTACTATCGAAAAGGTAAAAATGCTGTTCAAGCAAGAAAAAAATTATTCGATGTGTATGGAGAAGATGTATTGACGGAACGCCAGTGCCAAAACTGGTTTGCAAAATTTCGATCCGGCAATTTTGATGTTGAAGATGCACTACGTTCTGGAAGGCCAGTTGAATCTGATGAAGACACAATAAAGGCATTAATTGATGCAAACCGGCGAATAACAACTCGTGAGATCGCTGAGAGATTAAATTTATCGAATTCGACCGTTCATGATCATTTGAAACGCGTCTGATTGAAAATCGTCTTTCATTTTCATAAGAAAAAACGAAATTACTTTCCGAACAACCTAATAATAATGGACGACTAAACGATCGGCACACCTGAGACATTTAATAATGATGCAATAAGAAATGCATTGTTTATTACATATAGCCTAAACGCTTTGAAATTTACACGATAACGTGCCGTTTAGATAATCGCGATGTTGCGCTTCGCGAGAATCGCGTCTGAAAAGTGAAATGCGAGAGGAAGAAATTAATTAAATGGTCGGTACATATTGCGCACTTTTCGCATATAATCGCGTATACTGTATATGTACACCGTAACCAGGAATTGATTCGCCCGATACGCTACCTGCATTGCTGCGTTTTCTGTCTCGGTATCTCCCGCGGGCGAGCGGTTTGCGCAACTCGTAATGTCGGATTTGAAAGTTGTCGAAGCTAAATCCTCGGCGTCGATATATATCGGCTAACAATGGTCGCGCAATTGAATATAATAGCGATTCATAAGGATTGCGCAATGCACACGGCGCATTATGGCTGCTCATTTCAGCGGAACCTCTAATTGAACGGACGCATTATTATCGTCTAAATAATTTTAGGATCGACGATATCGATGGCTCGTCTATCGTTTCCGACAGAATTGCGCTTGGCGCGGCTCTGTCCCGGTTCTCTTTCCGCATCACTTTCTCTCGAGATACATATTTATATACCGACGTCGTAGAGAAGCTAAATTGTTGGCGAATATTTAAAATCTCGTCTCTTACGAGACTCTTCGTAGAAGAAAATTAATCGCACCTTAGGGAAAATCGCGAAATATTTAACACGTAAATATTTTTCAGCTGTTGTGCCAACGTGCCTCTGTTAACGCGTCTAATGCGTTTCACCGCATTCGCGATCGAGCGGTTTCGCGGCCGCCGCAAGCTAAATGATTTTTTTTTCGCGAGGGTCGTCGTATATATCGGCCCCATCGGTCGCTGACATTCTGCAGGGTGGAGAAAAATATCCCATGGCTAAAAAGCCTTACGGTCGTTAGAACGGTTTTGCAAGTGACGCGAGTCTCATTAGGACCACTCGGGAACGCAGTTCCGTTTATCCGTTTCTTCGTAGATGTCACGCGACTCTTATCTCGCGGACTCTCGAGAGCTAGGAATCGGACGTGGTAGTTAGCTGCGTAGATTACGACTTTTCGCGAGTGTAACTTCCACGAAGACGAGTGCCTCCTCGGAATGCAACTCGTGTTATGCGCTTGCTATTTGCTTCTCCCGTCACGCGGCGGGGAGGGAGGGGAGGGGAAGTTCGATAAGACGACGCGAGCGATCACTTGTAAGTGAGCCGCTAGAATTATTTCTGTGACAAATTAATGAGACACCGACCTATCCAACGGAATATCGGATATCATTTCTCGGTCGTTCAAGTAGAGAAACCCGTTCCATTGAACGAGATTTCTCAAGTCGCCAGGCTGCTGCGAAAGTTTTCTTCCTTTAAACCACAGTAGACCTTTTTCATAATAAAAATCTGCGGATGGCTTCTTTTTACAATTTCCTAATTTTCATTCAGTAATTAAGCCTGAAATTCTTAGAATAAGTCCCGTCAAATAAAATGAATAAGCTTATGTTTATACTTTTTACAACGTAATAAGAATAGACAATACGAGGAACAATATATGTTAAATAAGAGGGAACAAATTATTTGTCGGACCCACAAGATAAACATTTTTTTTTACAGACCCGGCGGTAGTAATAGCCGCGAGATATATTGCCCCTCTTACTCGAAGGATTTCACCGAGAATTCTCCTAAAAGCGGAGTTCACGATATGGTCCATATGATCCCAGAAAGGGATACGGATACCGTAGCACCGACACCGACCCCACAGCATCCACGTCATTCTCAGCACCATCATCTCAGTTTACACGAACTCCGTGCGCTTCAGGTATATCGAGATATGTCAACTATTACGGGGGGAGGGGGGGGGGAGATTCTACGGGTATATCTAATTTCTAATGCTTTTCCGACTTCTTGTAAATATTTTACATGCGAAAAATCACAAGGAATTGAAAATTCCGCGACGCTCGCCGTAAAAGATTGCCGATTTTTGCAGAGACGACCGGAATGCACTGGCAACAGCTCCTCCGATGAGAATCGATCGTCCGGACACGCGAGCATGTCGGACACTGGCGGCCACACAAGCAGCAGTTCACCACCGCATCGTCATCATAGAGCTCACAGTCCTCAGCAATTGAATGCTGTGCCCGAAGACGATCGACTCTCGGCATCGGTTACTCAAAGGAATGGCAGGAGCCGATCCGGTCAGAGCCGCAATCGACACCGAGCTACGCCCGCTAAGGTGATCTAGTGATCCAAGTTTTATAGTATCATTCTTATATATATTTTAATTTAAATAAACTGATACTTAATACTTGAATAACTTTTTGTTTTTTTACCGTGTCTTTAGAAAATTGGAATTAAACAATGCCCCTGTGATCTATATTAAAATCTAAGTAAATCGTTAAAATGCTATAAATATTCTGACAAATATCAATATTATAACATTATATTAATCTCTTTGTTCTTATAAAATTTAATGAAAATTATTCAATCTCATCTCTCTCTCTCTCTCTCTCTCTCTCTCTCAATTAAAATTTTCAACTTTAGGTGAATTTTTGGCTAACGATTGCTCCATTTCTTGAAACTCATTTTTAACATTCCGTTTTGCTTGCAGCTACAGGTACCATGGTCGGGTTCTGGTTTGGAGGATATAAAACTAGCAATCCAACAGCTTACGATGCGCTCGCACAAGTCTTCGTCCACATACTCTTCGCTGAGCGGCTCGGAAAGCTCGGAGCCCGCAGTGAGAAGGCTGATGCGGCACTCCAGCTTGGAGACGATCAACACCAACGTGACTAGCGCCGATGAGTTCGTCTGGGTAGATTCTCATAATCGTCTGGTTGAATTGCAGCAGCTACCGTGGACTCATCATGATGTGCTACGTGTACTTCAAAACGGTCGAACAAGAGAACACATGGAGCAAGTCTCGATGGAGACGATTCCGCGGCTTTCCTATCTCCTACAACGTGCGCTAGTCAGAATCGGCCGCGAGACTCAGAGATTGGCAAAGCCCATAGGTCTCTGTAGCAAGCACGAGGTGTACAGTGCCTTTAAGATCGTACTCTGTCCGGCTCTTGCGGATTCTTGTACCAAGGTAGGATTATCTGATATCAGTTATATGATATCAAAATAATAATATCCTGTTGCTAATATCCTGATAACTAGAGCAATATATTCTAATAACAACTGATGATAATCCAATCACGATGGGCGCACTTAACACTAAACATAGTCATTTGATACCTGCTTACCTTGTTTAAAGGCTTGCCTTCGAGCTGCCGCGATGTTCGCTGTATCTGGCGATCAGTTGAAACAATCGAAGGCATCCCGTTCGGGGCTGCAATTGCCAGTCGGACGTTTCTTACGTTGGATGTCCGATGTGAGACTCGGACGGATGATTCACGAGTATGCCGCGATATATCTGACGGCCGGAATCGAGAATCTCCTGGAAGAGATACTGCTACAATGCGTGCCGACGGAACCGCATACGACCCTCACGGCGACAATGCTGGAGCATGCTATAGCAAACAGCGGCGACTTATGGGGCCTGTTACAACCGTACGCGCATCTCAACGCCGGTCGAACTGCATCGGGTAATTTTATTTTTTTAAGATAAAGATCGGCATTAAATATCGGCTCACTCTCAATTATACGTTGATAAATTTATCCGATTCTAATCTTTTTTTTTTTTAATTTAATTTTTATTTTGTCCGTTTATTAATTATTTTTAAATTACAAAATAATTATAATTTGGTTGAAAACTGAAAGGATGTATACGACTATAAGAACTTTTATTTGCGTTTAAAGATACTTAATATGAATATCGTTTACACTTTTATACAATGCGACGCAGATATGTTATCTATTAATTTACGCTAATTTCCCATGGAATCTTTTACTATTTTAGGCGCTCTCGCTATGCCTCGTTGGGCAAGTGTAAGTTCCTTGAACTCGTCGTCGTCGTCGCGTAGTGGCCGGGACGTAGCTCAGTCAGCTTTGGAACCGTCGTTGCTTACGACGTGTGTGGGATCAATGTCAGAATTGATAGATTTGATTTCAAAGGTAGCACAAGCAGGACGCTGCCCTGTACCGTTGACAACAAGAGCGTTACATGCTCTATTTTATTACATGAGGTGCTCGCAGGTATGGGATTTGAATGAAAGTAGCGTATTAATTTTTCGATAAATTATTAATATTGTTGTATAATATTACAAAACACATTATTTTTTAAGTAATTTTAAATCATACTTGGTGTCATTGATCCAAATCACCTGTTCGAAATATTTAAGCTGGAACATGGCGAACGCGGATCTGGAATACAGGAATTAGCATACGAACGAGCTTACGTTGTGCTGCCACCGTTAGTAGAATGGCTACGGGTAGCTGCAGCGCACGCCGAGCACAGACACGGTTTGGTCATGGATCAAGATGACATTAATCAAGCTGCCCGACTATTGTTGCCTGGTGTAGATTGTCCTGTTCGACCGATAAGGTCAGTCAGTCTGTAAACTTTTATTAAAACAAAGTTATTTCAATATGTTATTTCAGAAGATTCGGATATTTAGATTTATTTTATGATAATCTTTATATCTTAAGATTTCTAACACTTTATAGTATAACTTGTTAAAAAATTTACTGTATTATGTATGCAGCTCCGAGGAAATCGCAGTATGTTCAAAACGCATTGATGATGTCGAATACGTTCGGTTGCTGACGCTGGACATGGCTTTTAAGATGTTGACCAGTGGACGCACCGATCTCATAGGCCAGGCAATGTCGCTGCTGCCTTCAACAAAAATTAACACGGTGAATGACGCCGGATTCACAGCTCTGATGCTGGCATGTATCAATGGTGATGAATCAGCTGTAATGGCTCTACTAGACGCCGGAGCTGACTTGAACATCGAAAGTCCACCACCCACGACAAGCTCGTCGTCGAATACTCCTTCCAAGATTCCACAAACATCCGGTGTATCAAATGTTAGAAGCCCGAATAATCAGTCGGCAATGATAACATCCAATAAAACTCCGAACGCGAATGTAGCTTCTAATAGTCCCAACAATCCTGGTGGAGCTATCTCCAGTGGCATGTGCTACACGCAGACTGCCTTTAACGCAGAGACGCAACACTGGACCGCTTTAACTTACACGGCTCTATTGGGTCATTGTAATATCGCCAGAATATTGTTGGAGAGAGGTGCTGTGGTAGAAGGCGGCGCGAAACTCAGCGAGGACAAGTGCACGGTCACGCCTTTGCAAGCGGCCACAGCGTCGGGAAATAATGAGATGGTAGCTCTACTCTTGGCACACGGGGCGCAGCCATTTCTATCCACTTTGATCAAGGATTCGTTCTCCTACTCAGGTTCCGTGCAACGTGGCTGTTACAGGTAAGTCAGTTTTAGCACTTTATTATTTAATTAATATTGCAATCAGATTTTATTGAAGTGAGTTTATTGAAGTGACGATTGGAGGAATCACTATAAAATTTAGTCTATATAATATTAAAATATTATCAATATTTAAAAAAAATTAAATTGGAATGTACTCAGATTAATTAAAAATCTAATTTTTAATTTTATATTTGATAAATAGCGCAATCTCAGTAGCTACAGCACATGGTCAGAGAAGTTGTCTTCATCAACTACTATCACATCCACTCAACTTCTCGGCCAAGCGAGGAGAGAAAGAGATATTATCTTTGGAAGAGATATTAGCGGAAGGTAACGCCGGTAATAACTCTCAACAGCAGACTGCAGAAGGAAGAGGAGCTCGCAGAGAAGGCAAGGAACCAGTATTTAATAAGATACAAACGAAGGCGCTACAGGAAGCTATGTATCATAGCGCGGAAAGTAATCACTTAGGTGAGAAAATAGTAGAATTTTTAAGCATATCAATTTTACTTACAATAAAATATTTAGATTTTTATTTTATATTAGTTATATAATGACATACAATTTGTTACGATTAATAGATATTACCATGGAGCTTCGTGGGTTAAAAGTAGGTTGGACATTACATTGCTGGATGCACAGTCTTGCGACAGCTCATGAAATGCGATTGGACTCGGTTATAGATCAATTACTTCAAGACTTTCTTCAAGTCTGTCCGGACGATTATTCCACGCAGTTCGTGCAGGAATGTTTGCCACTTTTATTCAATATTTTTAGATATAGTAAGGTAAAAAATTACACATTATTTATAAATACCACCAGTTTTGACAGAGAGAGAGAGAGAGAGAGAGAGAGAGAGTGTGTGTTTATAAAATAAATTATTGTAAATAAAATAATGCAATTTATTAAAGAAAATTGCACTAATGCTATTTTTTTATCTAAAATATGCGGTTTATGCTATTTTCACAGAAGGAAGGCACGACACTCTTGCTCGCTGATATATTTTGCACATGTTTTGGATGGGAACCAATCAAGCCAATTAGAGATACTACACTTTCGAGTGGATCAAGAATTGATCCAAAGTTTGTGAATAATCCAGAATTAAGCGATGTGCAATTTAGAGTTGAAGGTCGCGTTTTTTATGGTCATAAAATTGTACTGGTTACATCTTCCCCAAGATTTAGAAATATGTTAAGCTCCAAACTATGTGAAGGCAATCCTCCTATTGTGCAAATTAATGACATAAGATATCACATATTCCAGGTTTGCAATTATTATTATAATAATTTATACATAGATTTCATATGATGAACGTATTATTTATTAGTTGTTCAATATGATAATAGTTTATTAATTAGAATGTTCAAAATAATTATAATACATTGCAATTGATTAAAAATAGTTAATAAGAGTTAATTGTTTTTAAAAAAGTATTTCGATTTTCAGATGGTCATGGAATTTCTTTATCACGGCGGTTGTGCCACTCTGGAAGTTAATCAAAGTGATGTTCTGGAATTAATGGCAGCAGCCAATTTCTTTCAACTCGATGGCTTACTCAGATATTGTGAAGCACAATGTTCCACAATGGTGGATCTTGACAATATTGTTTCTATGTATATTCACGCAAAGGTATACTTCTATACACAATAAGTAAGAATTTGAAGCCTATAACAATTGAAGCAACTTTAATGCTTAAATAATTTAATGTGAATTCTGTGTGTGTGTGTGTGTGTGTGCGCGCGCGCGCGCGCGTGCGTGCGTGCGTGTAAGAATAGTTGTCATTTTAACTGAAATTGAAATTTAATTGGGACCCTAAATGTGATTTAATATCTCGAAAAAAATAACACCATATTTTTTCCAGATTTTTTGAACAATTTTAACTTGTGTCACCTGGATACGAATAGATGAAAAAACACCTTTGTGAACAAAATTCGGCCGACGCTCTAATTCTTAAGCAATTTTAAAGTGTTTTTTAATTTGCTCGAAATTAAATGCGCTACAAGCCTATTCTGCGTAAATTTTAATTACGGTCCAAATTAAAAATTACCAATTCAATATTCGTTATCATGTAATTTTGATTTTTTTGCTCACTTCATTGGACAATTTTTACTTTGGACCATAATCAAAATTTACGCAGCTTATAGCTTATTCGATTTGGAGCAAATTAAAAAAAAACTTTAAAATTGGTTAAAAATTAAAGCGTCGATCGAATTTTATTCATAAAGATGTTTTTCCATCTACTCATGCCTCAGTGCCACAGGTTAAAATTGTTCAAAAAATCTAAAAAAAATATGGTGTTATTTTTTTGAGATATTCAACCCATTTTAGGAGGTGTCCCGATTAAATTTCAAAAATTGTTAAAATAACCAACCTAATACATATCTATACGTGTATTCTATATATATATATATATATATATATATATATATCATATTTGTAGTCATTCAAACTGCGCGCCGAATTGATTTTCCGGATTTAAAAATTAAACTATATTGTATCACAATAATAATATCACAAATTAGACTAAATTGACAAGCAATTTTTAATAATTTGATGCTCAATCAGACATCGCATTAGAAAGATGATAATGTGCTGAAAAACTGTAAATAAATTTATTGCGGAAAATATTACCTCGGCCGAAAGTCGAACCTAGATCTCTTGTATTACGTACTAGGGTTCCAAGCTTTTAGACTACCAAGACCTTAGTAATATTCTTCGCAATAATCAGTGTATGTATAGAAACAACGTCTTTCAGGCTAATGAGAATCAACGCAGGTCATAAGGCGCAAAAAGACAATTTTAAAATGATTACAATTATAAAATTAAGAATTTATAATTATCAAACTGCATACAAGTATTCGAACGTTTCAACTCACTTTGGAGTCATCCTCAGTGAACATAGATCGAATACGAATTCTGATTGCTATATAGATGTTTTTATTTTAACATACTTTAATGGATTTCACTTTGGATCTTGCGATCCACGAGTGACGCCATTTAATTACTTTGCGAGGGATGTGAATATATATGTTAGCTGAAAAACTTTTCACTTTCAGTGAAATTTCAGCAAATTTTCAGCAATTTCGTTGAAATGAAGTTAAAAATAAAATAAAATAAAAAACGTAGAATAATTTCAGTCAGATGTTTTCATCAGGGAAGTATGGTACATATATGTATGTATACTATACGTGCACAGAAAAAAATGTTTGGTTGAATTAATTAGAATATAAATAATTCAATGTAAATTTATACATATTATGCATGCATGTACATATATAGTATATACAAATTCACATTGAATTATTAAAACATTAAAAAATTCTGCTGTGACCATAACTCTGTGTTACGTTATGGCCATTTTTTATCTTCTGTTTCGTATAAGTTTTCAAATGTACGGTCCAATAAGATTCTTATTATTTATAAAATATTAATCACATTATTATAATGTTAATTACCGAAAAATTAATTATTATTTATGGCCAAAACATTTAAGCAGTACATTTTCTGTTAAGTTTCATTCAATCTATTTTCAAAAGAGGTTCTACGCTTATTACTAGTCCTATATATGTATGTGTAATCACTCAATATACGCGTGCGCATACAAAATTGTGTTTGAGATTTACTAATAATCGTACAATTGTTAATTTCTATTACTCTTTGTGTTCTTATCCAACTCGTAAAAATATTATTACAAAACGTCTTAATTGTTATAACATGGTAAAATGTCATTAAATATATATTCGTACATAAAATAATAGGAACTGTATCGAACACAAATGTTCCTAATAAGATCTACGCATCAAACATTTACGTATATAATAGCAATTTACAATTTCATGAAAATATATGTTTAATTACAATTCTAATATTATTTCTGTTTTTCAAATTATTATGAAACTGTTAAAACAAAACAAACATAAAATCAACTTCTTACACGCTTGAGGAGAGGAGATATACAAAAATACTTTTCTTCATATCTTTGATAACAATCCAAGTGATTATTTAACGCAACGAGTATGTATGTTCGTATCTTCTAAGGATATAAATATGTCCCACAAATTGAGCATTCCGCCGAGTGGTTTTTTATGATTTAATTTTCCAATATTAGTTTTGCAAGTGTCGTATTTCTTGCTTTTATATAAAAATGTTTATCGTCTGAGTCTTAATACATTGTTACATAGTTTAATAAAGTCGACATATTGCTGTATACATTTATCCTTGAATGGACACACACTATTAAAGTACTCGTTGCGTTAAATAATCACTTGGACAGTCATCAAAGGTATGAAAAAAAATATTTTTTTTTATTTTCCCAAATGTGTAAGAAGTTAATTTTATGTTAGTTTTGTTTTAACAATTTCATAATAATTTGAAAAACAGAAATACTTTTACGATTAGAATTGTAATTAAACATATATTTTCATGAAATTGTAAATGGCTATTATATAAATACCTGATGCATAGATCTTATATATAAAAGAACTTGCGTTCAGTACAGTTCCTGTAACTATTATTTTATCATATGTATGTACAAGTATATATTTAATGACATTATAATAATTAAGACGTTTTGTCATAATATTTTTACAATTGGATTTTAAATTGGATAAGAACATAAAAAGTATTAAAAATTAACAATTGTACAACATTAGTAAATTTCAATCAAACACAATTTTGTATGTGCCTACGTATATCAAGTGGTTACATTTATTATATTATATTAATTAAACTTAACAGAAAAATGTACTGCTTTACGTTTTTGCCATAAATAATAATTAATTTTTCGGTAATCAACGTTATAATAATATGATTAATATTTTATAAACAATAAGAATCTTATTGGAGCATAATTTTGAAAATTCAACAAACAGAAAATAGGAAATGGTCATAACAGTCAAAGCAGAATCTTTTAAGCAGAATGTTTAAATAATTCAATGTGAATTTGTATGTATTATATATGTACATGCCATATATACCATACTTTAAATTACGCGTCCAAAATTTTATCATTGGCTAAAACCTCTTGAATGTTGTTCATGATCATATCCTGGATATTATTTGTCAAGATCAAAGCCATTGGGAGTTGTACCTCTTATTTTCATTTTTACGTAAAAATAAATTTTTAGTGCAAAGATGAAAATAAGAGGAATAATCTCCAATAATCTGGCCTTGACAAGTGTTATCCAGGACATGATCCTGAACAATGTTCAACAGGTTTTAGCCATTGGTCGGACACCTTGGGTAATGCTAATGCCGGTAGTATTGTAACTTTCAAGTATCATAACTCAAAAAGTACTTAATAAAAAAATATTTTCTTATAGCGTTTTGGAAAGCTCTCGACATTAGCTGTTAGATTCTGGAAACAAAAGTAGGATATTCCATTTAAAGAAATCGATGTGACCTTGACCTTGCCGACACCACCCAAGTTCAAACTAATAAGATCAGTACATAGACCTTTTTGAATTCTATAACTTTCGTTTGAACAATTTTTCTCAATAATAATGCTATATGTATGAAATAAAAATTTGTAACGCTTTATTTTGAACACCCAGTATATGCATGTACATATCTCTCTCTCTCTCTCTCTCTCTCTATAT